TCTTTTGTTTAAATGTTCAATTTCAAATTCATAGCAATTTTGTTTTATTATTGCCATCTATGTAAATAACAACTGGCTCTTAGAGTTTCTGAACATATAAAAACCAGACAGGAGAAACCCACAGGGACAGCTGACCTGAACAAGGGGTTGCTCATGGCCTCTGGTAGTGGATCAGTATTTATCCCTAGTATATGAATGGACTTTGGGAGCCCTCTCTATATAGAGGAATACAAGGGGGAGGGTCTAGGCCCTGCTCCAAATGAAATGACAGACTGAAGATCCCCCCATGGAAGACCTCACCTTCCCTGGGGAGCAGAAAGGGGTTTGGATGGGGAGTAGGGGGTAGGGGAGGAGGGATGGGAGAGGGAACTGGGATTGACATGTAAAAGAAGGTTGTTTCTAATTAAAAAAAAAAAAAAGAGTTGGGGACTCATGGGAGGCCTGCTGAGATGTGCTAATTTACTACTACCAGAAAGCAACAGGGCTAATTGATTGTGAACCAAAATCTGCCAGACTGTTTAGCAACTGAAATCCTTTCCTCTTTAAATGTTGAACATTTGAGATATTTTGTCCTAATAACAAAACGTAGTCTAACATAGGCACCTACACACAACCTTACCAAGCCCTATTTAGAATGGGGTAGTTGGGCAGTACAGGGCAATTAAGAAGGCAGATGCTGTCAGATGTGGATCTTCTGTGTGCTATTGAGAAAGTAACTGAGAAGCCTGATGTCTTGGTCAGGGCTTCTATCTCTGTGAAGAGACACCGTGACACCATGACCACGGCAACTCTTATAAGGAAAATATTTAGTTGGGGTGACACACAGTTTTAGAGGTTCAGTCCATTATCATCATGACAAGGAACATGGTCACATACAGGCAGACATGGTGCTGGAGGGGTAGCTGAGAGTATATGTCTGACAGGACCTCTTGTAGGCAACAGGAAGTCAACTGAGACATCGGGCAGTATCCTGAGCATAGAAAACCTCAAATCCTGTTCCCACAGTGGCACATTTCCTTCACATACTCCAACAAAGCCACACCTCTTAATGGTGCCACTCCCTATGAGATTATGGGGACCAGTTACACTCAAACTACTATACTTGCTTTGTGTGTATCAGCAGTTACCATGTTCTTGGAACTTTCTGTAGGCAACTGCCTGTGTTGTGCTCGTGTGAAAGTGAGGCCATGTTCATCACAGCTGAGGGACAGCTATTGCTCACTTGAGCTGAAAAATATGGTCAAGCAGCTGAACCTGGGCAGGTTAGAATTAAATGTATTGTTTAGATTTTATTTATTGAGTGTTTAGCTGAATGTATGCCTGTACACTATACCCATGCAGTGCCTGTAGAGGCCAGAAGAGGATATTGAGTTCCCTGGAACTGGAGTTACAGACAGCTGTTACCTGCCATGTGGATAGTGGAAATTGAACCTCGTCTTCTGTAAGCCAGGGCTCTTAATTGCTGGGCCATCTCTTCAGCCCCTCCCAGATAAAGGATGAACAGTCTGAAAATGGATGTGCATAAGACAGACCCTATATCCCAAACAAAGGACCTCAAATCAGAGAAGCCAAGACAAGACTTTTTGGGGACATCACATAAGGATCTCTCCACCAAATTTGGAGTCTGACAGCAAGAGCTCCTATAGCCTGACAAACTCCTTTCTGCCAGTCTAAGAGGCAAACTCTGAGGTCAGGGGCTAGGGCAGCACCATGGATAGTTCCTGAGCCATCACCACTGGGAACTTAAGATTTGGAAGCTGTGACTGGGCCAAGCAGGAAAGATTGCTGCAATTGATTGATTATGTCTGACAGGGACATGTGACAGAGTGTAGTGCAAAATATGAAGTTTTCCTGACCTGATGCAGAATGACTTTTGCTCATCAGCAGGGCCATTGTATCTAGGACAGTTTGCACATTGAGCATCTGGAGGCCAAAACTACAAAGGTAAACCTGCATGTGCCTGTAGTTCTGTTCATCAATATCTTTCCTGGGAGATGCAGTTTTAGTATACCAGCCAGGCCTGCCTAGACTCAAAGGAGGTTCCAAAAGAACTGGACTTTCAGATTCAGCTTTGATCCTAGGGTTTTTGATGAATGACCTTTATGTGTGGCTCTAGATGTTATTGCCAGGACCAGAGTAGCCATGGCACTCCCTCTTAGTTCTAGAGCTCAATTTGAGTCTAGAAAACTATGACTGATACTCATCTTGGGCCCAAAGATAATACCACACCAGCCTTACCATGGAGCCATGTTATTTTATAAAGACTCCATTCCACTCTCTCCTCTCACAGAAGGTGTTCTGTGGCCTCCAGGACCCTGCATGGCTGCCACATGGGCACTGCAGTATGGGCTATTTTCTGTGTGTGAGATATTTTATGAACCTCATAGTGTTTGGGGCTTGTGATCAGGGAGCATAAAGACTTTTAAACAGTTGAAGTGGGACATGAACACACTCAAGGCAATTCATTGTTGGGAAAGATTTATTTCAAATTTTGAAAGACATTCTATCACCAAGTCTCTAAAGACATTTCAAGGGAGAAGATGGATGACTTTCCATCATTTACAGAAAGCCTTTCTCTTCTTCCCCGCTGTTGCCAATCACTGTCAACCCCCATGGGAGCCTTCTAGTCTTCCCTTACTTGTCCTGACAACACGGGTTTCCCACAGTCAATCTGCTCAGCCACTCCAGATAGAAAAAGTGATAATGAGATGGATTTGCCTAACTGTATGTATATGATCTGTGGATATCAATCTCAGCCTTGGAAGTTGAAGACCAGCTGCCAACATCCAATGACATTGCATGGGGCCTTATGTACCTTCACTCTGGCCCCAACTTTGAATCATCTCTTTGCCTTTATCTGCCTGGATCTTTGGGATTAGCCTAGTGGCTTTGTGTTGGCAATAGGAGAGCACTTTTAAAATCCTGTCTTTCTTCCATGCTAAGGAAAACATGTGAAAAGTAACTCTGTATCCCCAGAAGTTGAGAAAAAATGAATGAAATGACTAGTGAGTTTTCCAGCTCAATACTTGTCAAGCCACATATCAAGTTTGAAACACACCTTATTAAGGTGGGCATGAAATCAAGATGTTTCCTGAATCTCTCCCATGACCAGTGCCAATCTGGGCTTACTTTTTCTTTCAGTGATCTTAAAATGCCCCAAGACAGGCATCGTCATGCTTATTTATAGATGCAATAAGTGTATCTTAGTGTAAGTAAATGTCTTCCTCCAGTCACACAGCCACTAGAAGCAAAAAAGGAGTTCACACTCATCTTCTGATGTAAACCCAAAAGTGAGTCTATGTTGTTGTAGTAGTGGCTATAACACACTGTCTTAGCCCCATCTATTCATGTTTGCATCAGAACCCCATGTTCTGGGTTGCTCACCAAACTTCCTTCATCTCTCAGAGGGGAGACTATTAGCAACTGAACTTCAATCGTTTCTGGTTCCTAATACGTGGAAGCTTGTTATTCCTGGTGTATGTTTGCTGAATTGAACGCTACTGGAGCCTGGTTATTACAGGGACATCAGTGTCCTATGATTGGCAAATAAGTGATCAGTATAGACTAAACAAAGTGAAAATTTATCTGCTCAGATTCTTGTTCACTAGAAATACAAGTCAGTTTCACTGAGCCACCGTTGAGGTTCTGACAGGCCTGCACTCTTCTGAGAGCCCTAGAGGAGAAAGCCTGTTCTTAGCGCCTTTCAACTCCTATAGCTGACAACCTACCCTGGGTATGACCTTGTTTTTGCCTGAGCACATGGCCTACTCTCCATGTGTCAAATCCCTCGACTCTCTAAGCATACATGTGATTGCACTTGGAACTTACACTAATAACCAGGAGCATTCTCCATCTCAAATCCTTAGTGAGAATCACAAAGACTTGCCATCTAGATAAGCAAGTTTAGGATGCTGGCATCTTGCAGTGCTTTTGCTCAGACTGCCACATGCATGGTTCCAGATTTTAAAAGCATCCGTTTGATATTGGAGTACTAGACCAAAGCCCTCATTTTACTTGTGAGGTCCACATTCATATGAAGACAAAGAGTGAGAGCCCCTTTCACAGTGTGGAGGTGCCAGAAAGTTAGTTTCTCTGACCCCCCAGCGGACTCAACACTCTTGTTACAGTTTGAATGTGAAATGTTCCTCAGAGGCTTATGTGTGTGAACACTTAATCTCCATGTTTATCGGTATTGTAGAACCTTTGGGATGTGGGGTCTACCTGTAACTTTTCTTCTTGTTTGGGAAGTTTCCTAGCCACACCAAAGCTGTGACATAGGGAGTCTACACCTTTTAAAATGTTCCTAATTAATTACTCATCACTGAGGAAGTCAACAAATAAGTTAAAAAAACCAATGAGATCACTTTTACCCGTGGATGACCTTGGACTTGCTCTATCAAAGCCACTTTGTCTTACTAGATGGTTTTCTTTTCTCTGGAGGCCAACTTGATAGTAAAATAAAAAAGGAAATCTTTCATTACTTCCAGGAGACCTTATAACAAAATAAAGCACCAATGTGCTTGAGAATAATGGCCAGGCCAGAGAAGGCTCCATTCTTGTCATCTATACCCCGAGCTGGGTTTGGTGAGTTGCCTCCCCTCTGTAGATGGAGCTGGAAATCTCTTCCAAATGGAAAGAGAATATTATGGGTTGTTTTCCTTAAAACTAAATTACTAAGAGTTAATGCAAGCTTTCCCTGTGGACATCTAAAACCCCATTTCAGCAACAACCTTCACTTTTCTCTTTTTCTCTCTTTGTCTTGCAGAATGGCAAAGGGCACTTCCTTCAAATTCTACAGATGAGAAGGTCCCTGTACAGCCACTGGCATGGCTTTGGCTGGTTTCATATCAGGAGTCACTTTTTTAACACAGCATGGAATAGCCACTGGCCCTCACTAATGGCCTTGTGATCTCCCTGGGGGTTTTGCACCTTCATCTGCCACAGTGAGTATGATAATGTGTATCTGGGTAAGTTGGACCCATATTCCTGGTTCTTTACAGTGTTCTGCAGCAAATACTACAAGAGGTGGGTGGAGTGTCTCTCTCTGCCACATGAACACTGGTCTCACCATATGGTTTGCTATAGCCTATGGAATGTAGGTGGAAAGGACAGAAGCAGAGTTTGTAAATATTTCTGTGAAGTTTAGCTCAGTTTGTGTCATCGCATGTGAAGGTCATCCTCAGAATGGGTCCCAGGTAGTAGATCCCAACCCAACAAGCAGCCTGGAGCTGAATCTAGCTAAACTCAACACAATGCACCAATGAAAAGGCAGATCTCAGAGACAGGAGCACAAAAGAGAATGGTGAAATGTTCCAGTTGTTGCAGTGCTAGGCTCTTGGTCACAATGCAGATGACCAGCACAGTCTCTCAATAGGTTCTCCTTGGAGAGCAGCACCATACCTCTGTTTTGTACCCACATCAGAGTGGACACTGAAACCATTATCAAAAGCAGCACTGGGAAAGAATGGCTTTAGTATTGACTCAGGGTCTCCTTTCTTCTAGTGGATGCCATGAGCCTATGACAGATGGATGCAGACTTGACACTCTACCCCACCGGTTTTAAAATTCCAAAATCCGATCCCAACTCTGTCTTGGAAATAGACAGGAAGTTGGTTCATGCCTGGCTATGTTTACTTGCAAGGTACGCTGGGACTAATGTAAGCTGTCAGGAAGCAGGACCAAACCAGAGCAAAGAAATGGTCTTGCTGTGGATGTTGCTCTAAATTTCAGAGGAAATGCTGGGGTGGCCACCCTAGTGGTCTAAGCCACTGACATCCATCCAGTGGGTGGACGAAATTACCTAGTGTAGAGGTTGCAGTTGTCTACATTACAGCAGACCTCAGACACACACACACACACACACACACACACACACACACACACACACGAGCACTTAAATACCAAAGAGGAACCTTACTTCCATATCTTAAGGAAGGAGAGAGTCCAAAGGCTTGCCAGAAATTCCAAGAGATACTCAGGGAATGAGCCATACAAATGTTGGTGATAAGAAGAATGCTTAGCTCAGGAAGGACACCAGGCCTGACATGGTGGACACCTGGTTAGTCTCTTGCTTCCACAAACCCAGGCCTCATTATGTCTCCTCTAGTCATAGGGACCTGAGACACACAGACATGGCTCTCAGGAGTGGGGCAGTTTGGACTCAGGCTCCAAGGGTCACTCTTGCTCATGTCACTGGAGAGCCACTCCAGGCTATTTCTACTGTCTACGGGACCTTAATAACTGGAACCTCACCATCCTGGAATAGTGCCCCCCCCACACAGCATAGTGTCTCTCCTCACTGCTTGCTCTTATTTCTTCCTGCACCTTCTCAGCCTTTCTCACAGCACTCCCTATGCTTATCTTGTCACCTTCATCCACAGTTCCTCATCCATAGGTACAACCCACAGCAGAAGGAAGATATTTTCAAGTGCCTGAATATGTGCAAAGGTTTCTTTTCATTACAGGAAACCAGGGCTACATCTGCACCTCTGGAGTTTATGACAGTTTGGTGAACAACTTCTTGTGTGTCTTTCCCAGCTGCTGCCAGGAACATGGTGACAGAATGACAAGGATGTTCCCACAACAGACTCTATCTTCCTATGCTCCTGTTTCTTGGCATAGACTCTGCTTACTTTAACTCAGCAGAGGTCTTGTGTTTGCATTTGTTTATGAAAGTAATATTGACAGTAACTTTGGGCAGTGCATAAAATATCAGGCACAGAGAGCAGTGGTTGTCCTGTGGACAGTGATAAGCAAATACAGGTTGGTGCTTCTTTCTTCTAGGACTTAGCTAAGGTTCAGCTTTCTGTTTGCAAGTAGTAGAGTTCAATTCTGCACAAGCTTAAAAATCTGGGGAGATTGATAGGGATGGCCTTAGGGTGTCTTGCAGGATATAGGAGCCTTTACAAAGCCCCATTCAGGAGGCAGAGTGGGCACTCTTGGGGCCTGAGCAGGGGGAGCCTCTTAAACCTCTATGTGAGTTAACTGCTTTTTGTTTGATCAAGAATACTGACTAGTCCTTGGGTCAAGGGAATATCCCTGCTTCACTGGTCCTGGCAAAAGGGACAGGGTTTTTAAGATGAACACGGAGACTGAGTGCCTCTCTCATGAGAGAAGATGGTCAGGGGCCAACAACAGACAGTCTGGTACTTCCTCTATGAGACTGATTTTAGACGCTGCCATCGTCTTTCTCAGAAGTTCTTCATTCTTCTTCTTGAGAACTTTTGTCATTGCCTCCAGTTTGGCATCTTGCACATCTGTATCCCCCCAGTGCAGGGGACTTTTCTGATTTTTCCCGTTTCTCTACAACAAGCAAAGGGAGCAGAACCTTCTGAGCAGCTACTGACAATGCTTGACTCCATTATTTGTACCCTCAAACAGTAGTGTCAAGGCTCCACTCCGTGTGAGGAGAACCCATTCCTCCTAGCAAGTTACCACCCTGTTACAATACATTCCCTCACTGGGGACTGCTGCATCCTTCCTGTTGCCAGTCACCAGTAAGGCCAGAATTCAGCTTGTTGATGCAAGGGCAGACCTTCAAGAGATGTGTTCACATACTGCACTTTTCGTGCAGCAGTTGGAAGTAACCTTTTCTTCTATTTCCCAAAGTAATCCAAGAAGCACTTCTTCCATCAGTATTCTGCTAGTAACAGAAGAGGGGTTACTGGGTTCAGTCCCAATAACAATTCATTCCCTGTGTTTTTTCCTCTAGCCTTTGGGTTAGCCATACCGTCTGGCTTCAAATTGGACAGCTGTACACTTTTCCAGGATTCAAGCCAAAATTTTTTTTTAATGCTGATTTGCTAATTGGATGCCAGGAACTGAGGATCCAACTGAATCTTAGTACGTGAGTCTTTAGATGGTGTGTTTTTTTCTGAGCGGCTATCATTTGATGGTACATGAATTTTCCACTGGGTCAGTTGGAAATGTTTTCTTTGTAAGTTAATTGTCTGCTGTAAGATCCTGCAGATTTCCAGAGCCTAAGAGCCATGTTGGATTCATTTTTCCCATTCCTAAGCTGGAAGAACTTAATTTTAAAATCAAGGGACATTTTTTTTTTCTTAGAAAGAAGCCTAATGGTCATCTATATGTTTTGCTATAAATGACAGTGAAAAGAAATGAACAAAATCTTGAAAATCTGATAATGTGTTCTGTGTTAAAGTTATTGTCATTATTAAAACAACTAGGTCTGGAAGAATTTAAAGTGAACAAACCCACTTACTTGTCACCAGGGAACATGGATAGTCTTACTGTGTTGTGTGAGCACACTGTGAGCCTCCAGCCTTGGGACTGCTATGGTTTGTGAGCACAATGTGATCCTCTAACCTTGAGACAGGAGATCAAAGGCAGAAGGCTGAAGTTCTGCAGAGCCTTCTCCCACCCTTCTCTCCTTTGGGTCCTGTGAAGAGGAACTGTCTATTTAATTACAACATGCATAATAGATGGACCTTGACAGTTACAGAGGTGAGTCTGGAATGGGTAAAGCCCTCAAATATATGAAGCTTTCGATTGTGGATTATAGGGAAATTCCCCATATTTGGGAAGATGTGGAGGACTGGAACCATTTCTGTAGGGATCTTGCAGCTATAACCAGGATCCTGGATGTTCCCTGAATGCATACATGTTAGAGGCTTGTCCCTCAGAGTGGAGGGGTTTGGAAGTATTAGAACCTTTGGGAGGTGGAGCCTAGGTGAATGAAGGGCATCAGGTCACTGGGGGCTTGCTTCTGAAGGAGATCATGGGACATGCCCATTCCTTATTCTCTCTACTCTGTTTTTATTTGGCCCATGGACACTGAATGAGGTACCTGAACCTTCAGACACTGAGCCACATAAAACCTTTTCTCTTTAGGTGTTTTGTTTCTTCTAGAGTTTTTACTCAGGGCAGAAATCTGAGTGAATAACACAAGCACCAATGATACATATTGATATCATATATTGGATAAACCTATTTAGATAAACCCAAATTAAGAGACATCCTATTAGCCTGCATGCTTGACAGTGGCCTGCCTGCTTCAAAGATTTCAAGGTCATGTGCATCAAGGAAAATGAAGGAAATTGCACAGCTACAGAAAGTGCAAGGCAAATAACTCCAGAGGTCTGCATTACTTTCCCTACCAAGGATTGCACTGGCACAATTGGAGAAACTTGAATAGGGGGCATAAATCAAGGGGCAATGTTGTATCAGGGTTAATTTACTGTTTTGATAATCAGTTTATGATTATGGGATAGTAGAGGCTGAAAGGACATCCTGTCTCTGACTCACTCTTAACTAGTTCCAGGAGGGTTGGGAAGAGAAGCTTAGTTGTGACTTTGAAATTTTCTGAAAAATTAAGATTGCTTTTATTAATCAGGGTTCCCTAGAGTCACAAAACCTATGGAATGAGAGAGAGAGAGAGAGAGAGAGAGAGAGAGAGAGAGAGAGAGAGAGAGAGAGAGAAATATCAGAGGTCTAAAGCTCATGGTTTATATCTTGTGCACCTCTGTCTCACTCACTAAGAATAAATTCACAATGTATTTTACCCTCTAAAGATTTTACTTTGTTTCTCACAATGACTTACAGCCACCTCAGCTGGTCTTTTGTATATGCTAGGGTCCCAAAGAAGTAGGCTCCAATGCCAATGAAGGAACAGATGTTCCAGCAAGGCGAAGGCAAGCGGGTAAAGAGCAACAGCTTCCTTCTTCTATGTCCTTATATGGACTTCCAGCAGAAGGTATGCTCATATTAAAGGTGTGTCTTCCCTTCTCAAGATTTGGATTAAAGGCCTGCATCTTCCTGCTTCAAGATCCAGATCAAAGGTGTGTCTTCCTACTTCAAAAGTACAGACTAGAAATGGATTCACCCTCACAGGTGTGAGATTTTCCACTTCTGGATAGCAGTTCATTTCTGATAAAGTCAAGTAGACAGCCAAGAATAGCCATCACACTTCCCAACTGAAAAACAGGGTGAGGCCTTCTTGACCATGAAGTCAATAGTCGTACATAGTTTGCCAGGCCACCAGTGTTCACTGAGTGTCAATTCTGCTCTCCAGTCATCCTGGTTGTTCTCTGTATCTACTCATCTTGTGCTACTCATTGCCAACTAAGTGTTCATTCCCAAATATTAAAGTGACTTTGGCCAATTACAGAGCTGATGCCTAGAAAGGAAAAGCTGTACTGTGAAGAGTCACCAGGCACACTGGCATTTCTGCTTCAATCCCTCTGCCAGCAGGCAAAGACAAAGAGGCCAACCTGCAGCCTGAGTGCAGCTGCAGCACCTACCTCCTTGCTAATGGAATCTATAGTGCTACTTTCTGACTTCTCATGGGAATAGAAGTCCATTGACACTGACCTCTGCTTGTCTTTTCTCTTTGTGACTCGGGATAAATTTCTAGGCTAAGAAAAAACAATTAGAGGGCATACTCAATAAGCAGGCAGGTACAGTAGCCACCCTTACCATCAATCACCCTGGCAACAGGTGCTTGAGATTTCAGATAGTGTCAAGACTTATCTATATATCTATATCTATATCTATATCTATATTTTTTCCTATATATGTATAGTAAATCTTAAGTAATTATTTGGCATAGAAACAGGTTAACAATAAATAATAGAATAATTGTAAAATTATGCCATAATAAAATTTACACAAATGAGTTTTATCATTCTTACATACCATAATAAGAGTTGAATGAATGAGTTTTGTCATAGTTACCCTGCATCTAACTATACTTTTACCTTTTCACTTATAGAAGTGTTTTTTTGGTTGAGGCACATCTGAATAGCCAGCAGAACTACTTTTATTTTGGGGGTCATTTTTAAGTAAAATAGAGTTTTCTTGATCACAACTACTATGATATCACAACAATCCATGTGATAATCAAGATGACTTTGAATAAGTTGCTAATGGAGGGTAGAGTATACCGTGTGGTTCACTAACAACACAAATGGGAGGTTTGTGGACCTAGTGGGATGGCCTGAGATTTTACCGCAGGATCAGAGTGGCACACAATTTAAAACTTGGAAGTAATGTCTGGAAATTTCCATTGAACATGTTTGGGTTTGTGGTTCATTAGAACTGAAGAAAGCAAAACTGTAAAACTATAAGTAAGAGGAAATGTCCGTGCTGCTGGGAGTGAAAAAGTGGAGAGGAAGAGCAGGGAGGAGCCTATTACAGTTCCAGTCCCTTTTAGCTTGCTGTAGAGAAGGTTTTGTTGTGGGGACATCTAGGGAATTTGTTCATGGAAAGGGATAGCTTTGTTGTTAACAGTTTGAATCCAGCACTGGATTTAGGTTTCAACATAAATGCAGGTACAGTGAATAGCAAGTACCATTCAGTTACAGTTACAGTGGGTCTCATCCCTGGTGCTAAGAGATGGACAATCAGGGCTGCACTGGAAGGGTATGAACCTAGTGTGCTTCCCAAACATGCCTGAACCTGAAAATAGCAAGATACATGCTAAAGTACAACCACACATTTGTGTTTTCTGTAATAACAGAAAATAATAACTTCTAAAAATAAGCAATATTTGAAAAAAAGAATGAACTAGAAATCTATTCTTCAGTGAGGTAGCTATCCTGGCTTCTGGTATTATCAGTGGGTGAAGGACATGGAAAAAGCTTTTATGAAGGTAGGGATGGTAAGAGACTCACATACAAGATACGGTAACCATAAAGTGGTGCCTGAGACAGCACCCCTTGAACCTGCCTGGCACTGTTGAGGTGGTGATGGGAGATAGGATGCCCCAGTCTCCATCTTCCCAGACATGATTAAAAATATGGAATAGGATGAAGATGAAAAATTTAGGAAAGTAGAGAATGATCAGATCACAGTATCTCAAAAAAGACTGTAAAACATAGGGAGGTCTCATGACAAAACATAAATCAGGAGATCTTAGGCCAACCAGGAATACTGTTCTCCAAGTATGTGTGTACCCTGGGCAAATGGCACTTAGCAGCAAGCTTCAAAAAATTGGAGTCTTATTGGATGCCATTGGGAGGCAGAAGGCAGGAAGTTGAAACTAAGAGAGGAAATGTGTTAAGATGCAGAGGGCTGGAGGAGAGCAACTGGGAGGGTCCCTAAGGCTTCTGGTATAGGACAGCAGAAAAAGACAGAAACTGAAACTTCCACACACAGCCTAGGACCTTGAGGGACTACAAAGCAAGCTCGGAGATCTTCCCTGGCCTCGAGTTAAGAAAGCAAAAGGAGGTGGTTTGAACTCTTCTCATTTTCTGTGTGTGTAGTTGAGGCCTGGCCCTTGGACAGAAATCAGTCTCCAGGAAGGGTCTGGGAGGAATAGCCCCAAAGGCTACCATGATGACCTCTGTGACAGAAGCAAGTTTACAAAATCAATGAGAATAAACTTTTTGTATGCAGATAAAAATGTCTAGATCAAAATGAGGAGGTTAATATTCTAAACAATGTTCACCACCACACCAGTTGATTTAAGAGGAAATATCTGAGTATGGATCACATCTCCTGGAAGGGCTGTTTAGTGTTGGTTTGAGGAACTCAAATGAATGCATTTTGATACACTTTCCAACATGAGATCGTTGAGTTGTGTTCACTTGGACCATGCTTAAGTCGCCAAGTAGACTGAAGGAGGAGAGGTCCTGTGGGTTGAAATGAGACTCCTTCTTACTTTGCTCATAAACAATTTCTCCACAAGGTTGAGAATCGTGCCATCATCTCTGGAGACCACTGAACCCTTTGGAGAAATGTGGGAACATGATATGGACTCCAGAATATTCTGTAGTACCTACTCTTTAAATAAGGGGCCAAAACAGTTTCTAATTTGAAAGATGCAAAGGGCTCAATTAAGGTAGAAACTGGCTTTGGATAAATACCTGCACATAAAGGCTGAATAAAATAAAAGGCATTTATGAGCTGTCCAGCAGCTGCAGCTCACTTTGATGAGCCAAGAAAAGAATTTAAGGAATATGAACCAGTTATTAGAGAAAAACACCACATCAGCTTTAGTTAGCAAGCATGAAAAGCTGGCTAAGAAACAGAGAAAGGGAGAGTCAAATGGACCCTCATTAGTGCTTGGCTCTGGTTTGTAGCATTTAAAGCTCTTTTGAGACTCAAAATAAAAAAAAAATAAAACAGGAAAGGGAGAGTACAAAATCAAATTGAAGCCAGAGAAGAAGATAGCTTGCAATGATTTAAATGCACACTCCATGCAAAGTCAGCCTGAGTCAAATTTTAAAAAGTATACAGATCATAAATGCTTTGAGCCAAAGAGATAAAAGAGAGTACCACTGTCAAAACTTCAAGAACAACTGATTTTTTTTCATGTCTGAAAGTGAGTTCACAAACATCCACAGGCCAGACCCAAAGGATACAAATAAGACAGAGTGGGCAAAAATCTTTTAAATAGTTACAAAGGACAGGGGAGTTGTTAGTGAAGAAGTAGGTCTGGATGCTCTTGAGTGGGAAGCTTATTTCTTTCTTGCCCAGTGTAAGTGAGCAAGTGTTTGACTGGGATAGAATGTTCCCCACATGGCCCAGGTAATCAGTCACTGGTCAATGACCTCACCCCCACAGCCCTCCTGGGACTATACCTTAATTCTCAAGACGGAACACATCCCACCATGACCACATCTGCCACCAGTCTGTAAGAAGGGCTGAGAGCAGAATTTGAAATGCATAAGCAAGAAGTTGCACTTGGGCCTTCTGTTCTCAGGTCACTAAGCACAACGAGGACACACAGCTGCACTAAGATACCAAAGTCTGGGATGAGCCTGGCCAATGTACTAAGGGTGGGATGGAGACACAGTTTAGTCCTAAAAGGAAGCGGTGTCAGATGGATACCGGAAGACAGTCAGAGGCAGACCCTGCTTTCCTCCCAGTGTCTTGCTCTGCTGGCCCTTGTTGTGTCACTTTTTCCCCATGCTTAGAGCCAGCCTGACATTACCTCATTTGAGTTCCAGCCAGTGGGAAGGTGTTGGAGTTTGCATATGATTTTTTATTAGAAGATTAAGAAAAAGGCTCAGCTGGTGTCCCTGTTAAGAGAAAGTTTAATCATATGAGCACTGACCTCCTGAATGGGCTTTTAATTAATCCATTGATGAATTCCCAGCTGAACCGGCTAGTAGAAAGTAGGGCCACTTTGGAATAGATGGATTATTAGGTATATATATTGAAGAATACACATTATTCTTAGCCCCATTTTGTCTCTTCCCATCCTGACTGTTGCAAATACTTCCTCCAACCTTCCCTTCTACCATGATGTTTCTGCTTTGCCACAGGCCTAAACGCAAAGGAGCCAATTGACTAGGGACTGAAATTTCTGAATCCGTGAACCAAAATAAAACATTCTTCATTTAAATATTTTCAGCTGTTTTCTCACATCGACAGAGAGATAATCAACACAGAGTGGGAAGAAAAAAAACACATAAGCAATTTCCCCTGAAGGATGAGACCTGGAGGGTGCAATGGCCAACTCCATCACCAGTCAGAATATCATCCACGTTCTCACGTAGCTGTAAAAGAGGCTAGGAAGTATCTGGAGACTAGGGTTTTATGAGTAATGAGAAGTCAGAGGGAATGGATATTGGGAGGTCAGTTGAAGACTACAGAGTACAACTGTGGTCACTGTATTTAGTCTCCTTTAGATGCTCATAATTAACCTTAGTTCCTAGTAGACTCTCAGTTTTACTGATTATAAAAGCTCTTTATTAATCAAATGTGGAACAGCATTCTTGCAAACTTGAAACTGCTTGCTGTGCTCTTAAGAAAGAACAGTGGTTTCTGATTTAAGCTATTTGTCACTTGAAAGGCATTTTTAGAAATCTCTGAGAGTGAGTGGCTTAGCTGCAATTTCAGAACAGGGGTATCTCAAACTGTTTTACATATGTCCTGTGAAATAATTTTTCGAAAGCAAATGCTTAACCTCCTCCCCATGGTGGAACATACTGTGCATTGATATCTTATGAGTCCTTCAGGGAAGGGTTCTGTTTAACCTTTAACCCAATGCATGCCAAACTTAACACTGAGGCCCTTCTTACAGTATTTCTTTTCCATTCAGTGAGAATTTATTGGAAGTACATCTGGAGAGGTACTTGTTAGCATAGTTGCTCTTGCAAATAGACGATATTCATGGTTCAGAAGTAACTGCCTGATCTGATGAAACTTAACTGCTAGAACTACCTGTGATTCCTAGATTCCCCATAGTCATTGGGTTTTGTTCTTCTCACTGTGATAAGCGATGATTTGGGCAGACTGCCTCTAAGGCTACATATTAGGGCTTGTGTGTTTGTCACTATGTAATGAATAGACAGACCTAAATAGTATTACTTTGTCAAAAGTGGATTCTTGGGGAAAGGTTTGAGACTCTATACTTGGTAACCCCAGGTCTTTCCTGGGACGAGGTTACTGTTTTAGTAAGTTTTTTTTTTTTTTTTTGAATTATGAGTAAGGGAATGAATGAATGAATGAATGAATGAGCAGATGAATTAATGAAATCGCAAGACAAGTAATAACATAACCGTCTTTAGGGGAATGGGGTGTTACACAGAAGAACCGCTGAGTAAGCCCTGCCCACTGACTTGCTCACATAGTCAGAAAGCAACAA